GTAGAAATACTTAAAATTCTGCCAACTGAAGTCAGCTATTGTTAATATTTTTCTTTTTACTTTTTTAGGTAATCATGAACATTAAGAAATTGACAACAAATTACATATTATAATGTGAAATCTTCTTTTAAAAATAGTTTATATATGTAAGTTTAATCTCTATCTTCAAAGATAATATTAATGTACAAAAATTTATAAAACTCTTTTCATTATTTTGTGATTTTCAGTGTCATTTTGATTTAGGTCCCGTTTTTGTTCATTGGTTTTCATCCCTCATTTTTGCAGAAAAGATTTAAGGTAACTCCAGCTCACTTTCCTCCAAGTGGATATAATATACAGAGAATTATATATACATATATTTATATAATTATATACATATTTAATATATTTAAATTATATATTTATATTTATGTAGTAATATGTGTGTGTGTGTGTGTGTTGAGATCTGTGCTCTATAAACAATACATAACTTTAACATACTGGGGAATGGTGCTATAAAGAATTATATTGTAACAAAGAATCCTTTGAGAAAGTGAAGTGTAACTCCTCCTTTCATAGAACCTTGTTTATAAAGCTGCATTGTTCAAAACCATGCTCACAAGCCTATTGATTCACGCACTCTTAGGGTGCAGAGCGCTGGTCTTGTTGTCTGATATTCCTTCAGTGTCTGCAGCTGTTCCTGGTCTGCTGTATTTGCTAAGTGAACACTTATAGAGTTGAAGTAAACGAAATGAAACAGTTCCAAATATTCTATTACTGCCACGATAGGTTGCACTGTTATTTGAAACAGCATTGACGTAGGAGACAATGATGGTTAAGAGCTTCCATTATGCTGAGCCCTGTTGCTAAGGCTTTAAATGCGATAAAATGGCCTACTTGTTTGCATAGTGCTTAGGCCCAGATGGTAAATGCCACACAGATACTAGCTTTCAGTGATCTGGGCTATTTGTTACTAATTTTTTTCTTCTTAAAAAGAACCCATTTTTTTCTCTGAGGATTTTGACTTAAATTTTCCATAATAAGAATAAAGTACTTCTTTAGGAATTACACATAAAGTATCTTAAAGAGTTGGTATGGGAAATAAAATATGCTATATTTGATAATAAATTTATATGTAATTATTATTTTAAATTGCCTATATTACCTAATAGTCTAACATCTCATTCATTCATAATGGTTAATGGGAACATATTTTAAAATAAAATGTGCTACAGAGCCATAAATATAATTTATAGTTCTTTCCATGGTGCTTTTACTGTAAGCCTTTCAAGCATTTGACAAGTACAACATGACCCCTTTCAGTGAATGAGCAATTTGAAACATGGACGAATGAAGTCTGAGATTTCCTCTGGATGTGGAAGATGTGTGAGAATGGCCAAGTTACGGCTGCTAATGTACGCTGCTCTGTGTTTGACAGAGTCTTTGGAAATTTGTCCCAGACACATCAAGACAGGTGGGTAAACACGTCCTGCACTGTGAAACCCGTCTGTGGGCTTCGAACAATGGAATCCTCCAGCCCAGAACTGGCCGATGGAATCAGTGTGAGGCACACGTGTGACTGCATATTTTCCAGTGGCCACATTTAAAAAGTTAAAGGAAACAAGGGGAATTAATTTTAATAATATGTTTTATTTTACTCAAGATGCCTAAAGTAATATCATTTTAACATGCAAACAATATAAAATATTAATGAGATATTTTACATACTTTTCATTCAAAGTCTTAGAAATCCTGCACAGATTCTATCCTTACGGTGCATCTCTGCACACGTGGCTCCGGCACCTGTGTGACTCTCGGCCACCATACTGGACAGCACAGCTCCAGTCATTCCCACCGGGAAGGCACCAGAGGGCAGCAGTGCGGTGCAGAGAAAAAAAGACAAAGACTAACTTGGAATCGCAACAAGTGTCTGTTCCTGGTTCTGACATTTCATATTGACGTGGCTGTGAACAAGTGATTTAGTTTCCCTGGGTCTCAAATTCCTGCTCTGTATAATGGAGCTTGGTAATAAGTGCCATGCTCCTCACAGGAGACTGTGGGAAAGATTAAATAAGATATTATATGTGAAAGTGCTCTTTTAGATCATAAAAGCACCATACACATGTAAGGCATTATTACCCTTTTTTTGTAGATTTACTCTCACGACTTGCCCGAGGCCACATTCCAAGTTGGTAGGAGAATCAAGGACAGAATCTGGGGCTTCTGACTTCCAGCCATCTGCTTCAACTAAAGCCTGTTCATACCAAGCTGGCTTAAAAAAATTAAAAACTAAAAACAAACAACAAAAAAAACCCAACCTGCCTCCCAAACCCCAAATACTTTTTATTAAAAAAATGAAGAAGGAAGAGAGTGGCAGTAAGAAGTAAATTCCATAGTGAATAGTTAGGGTCTCTTGGCCACTGCTATAATGTTCTGCAGTAAAACTATATATACAGGGTATTTATATACCTATATATCAGAACTACAACTATCAAGGATTGGACTTTATTGCTGTCATATAATATAAAACCTTGCATTCTTCGAAATTTCAAACAACTTCTAAATTGGACTGTGGTTTCCCTATTTTATTTATCTCCAAAATATGGTACAACCACAAGAAAGCCCTTCCGTAGTGGGTTTGATTAATAAAACAGATATGGATCAATTGAACAGGTTTTCCACAGATTGTTTTTGGTTACAGATGTAGCTAATTAATTCCCATGTGTGAGATACCACCTCTCTAGTGTGAATCCAAGAGATACAATAATCTCTGAACAAAAAGTGAGAATAACACAGTTCAATCTATGTTTATTTGTGCTTACTATATACATTTGTGCTTAATGTATAAGGCACATTAGATATTTTGGTGAGCAAAAGGAATTTGTTTCTACGGTGATTGTCACTAAGAGATATGTTATTTATTTAACTTGAAGAAAAGATAGGATATGCCTACCAAAATGTATATGTTATATGATTCAGAAATCCATATTTTCAGGAAGTAAAAAGATAATTAGAAAGGAAATTCTAGATTATTCAAAAAATAATTTAAAAGGTCCCATCTTTTACTCTGTAGAGGGCACAGAGAAGATGAGTTATCACAGCTCATTTCCATTTTTCTTAATTGTAACCCTATCATGGTTTTCATATTGAAATTTGCTGAACCATTTTCTACATTTGTTGCAAATCAATTTCTTCACAGATCTTACAAATCACATAAAATATTTAGAGTTTTATACTATGTGAAATTAAGCATGAGCCAAGTTTATTTTTACTGAAAGTTGATGACCATGTTGAATACATGTAACTTTTATTTTCATTGCTGTTGACCATTGAATGAAATATTTTATTGAGTAAACTTTACATTTTACTGCCTTTGCACCCCAGTTTGAAATCAAGGCTTACTTTTTTAAAAGTCTAATAAATGTATTTTTGATATTTTCACCATAACTTTACAAGCAACTTCTCTCCTCTGCCCTATAATAACCACCTTCTGCATTTTTATGATTTAGTTTAACATTACTATTGTAATTTTTTACTGAGTGAGCCCATCAGTGCCCTTGGCAGCAAGATTCTGTTACCAAGAATCCAGAAGCTGGGCTGCGGTCTGTTGCCACGATTACAGTGTCCCTGGATCGGGTTCGGAGCCTCGCCCTGACCTCGGGGCTGTAACCGGAGCCCTGACTCCTTCATCAGCGTCTGCAACTTGTGTGATCGGCTTGGGTCCTCTAACCTGTTGCTTAAGTGAGCATATACATTTTTATACGATGGTTTTGTGTTATAAATATTGTTTGATTAACATCTGGCCTTGATGAAAATCCAGACAAAATAAGTAGTGGTACCTGTAGTAAAAACGTGATACCTTAGGAGAGTTATTAACAGGTGTGGATTTCTCCAGGACCTCAGAACGGACTCGTTACAGACCGGACGTGGTCACGTGGTGTTAACTGCAGGGCTTCCGGCTGCGCTTTTCTGTTTTGTTCAAGAGCACCTCCAGCAAGAACACAAAAATCTGAGGAATCCTAACTATTCATTATTTAAATTACTAAATAAAATTAAATAGGCTATAAAAAGTCATTGTACTATTAAATATTAGGAAATATTGACTTGTGTCTCCAAAAGTCACACTAAAACCAGGCGACAGTAATCAGCATAAGATGGCTGTGGACACTCTGAGATGTCTACTTGTCAGAAATGGATGGTATTTTCCCATCGAAGTAAAAAAGTTAATGATGTACTTCGCATTTTAATTGCTTCTACTGAGAGATCAATTAAGGGATAAAAGAGATTCTGGTATACTGTTATTATTTTTCACTGTGAATGTATTCAATACGTGAATAAAACCATACTTGTTATATCATGCTCTGTTTCATATTTCCTAGGTTGCCTTTAGGAAAATTTAGTACATGCCACTGCAGTCATCTGAAAGGAATCATTTCTTCATTACAACTCATAACTTAAAACTATAAAATATCAGCCAGAAAAAAAATTGGCCCAATTAAGAGAAATTTGATAATGGTAGAAAAGCACATATAAATATGACTAGGAGATGATAAGATTATTTTAATTTTGCCATTTGCACTCGAATTATTTATTTTACAAATCTCCAGATCTTTTATTACTTAAAACCCTCTGCTGAATCATGAAAAGCAGCTTAAGTTAGCAATTTTCCTCTGCAAAACCTAGCTGCTAGCATCTGGTGAACACTTGGATAACCTAGTCAGGGCCTATGGAAATGATTATTTTAAGACTCTATTCAACATGCCTGGACTTAAAAAACCAGCTAGAATCACACTCTGCACGTGTATTTTACTGTCAGGGATTTGAAAAGCTGGCATTAGTAGCAATGGTGTGTAGGCTGTTGCAGTGGTGGAGATGGCGATAGGAGATCGGAACTGCAGGCAGGCTGGACACCCGTGTCTGCCAACCGCCCCTGGGCTTCCCTCAGCGCCTTGCGCCGCGGCTTCCCCTGTGGACCAGACCGCCAGGCCGCTGCGCAGCCCTCCACCGCTTCTCACACTTACATTTAGACGTGGCTGCCTGTGGAATCAGGACCAGCGTCCTAGCCCGTGCCTTCCTGCGGCACGCCTGGGGCTGGCTTCTGTCTCTTCACCAGATGCTGCTGCACGTCCGGAACAGCGACTGGAGTAGAGAAAACAGGATACTTGTACTCAGGGATTTTCAACTACTGTGCTGCAAATTGTTTAAAACACGCAATACCTGACTCTTTAGTCAGGGACACTGGCCTCTTTTCCCTCAGACTGTCAAATAAAAAAATGACAACGGCCAACACAATAATAGCTGTCTGGTGTAAATGAATCAACATTATCTTTTTTTTTGTCAGATAGGCCAAAAATATGTTTTTTTGGTGTGCCCCAGAATTTTAGTAATTAGTTTATGCGTGCCATGAGATGAAAAAAGTTCAAAAGTAGCTGCTTTTAGTCATTTGGGAAGATAACAAGAAGCTGAATTATCAAAGTGTATTGTTTTTGGATCTTAAGACAAATTACATAATAGGAATTAATAAATACACACTTCAGTAAAAAACAGCATTATTTGCCAAGATTTAAATGCACATTTAGGAAATATTAGGAATCTTTGTATGCTGATTAGGAGAGAGAATTTTTTGAGTATTTCTATATATACAAATATGTACTTATTTATTTTCACACATATACTATATATAGTTTCTGTTCAAATAAACAATTTATTGCCTATCTTTACTGCCACTCATGGTTATTTGACGTGCTAAGTTCTCACTAAAATAACTGCCATTAGTACAGATTTGAGATAATTGAGAACTGATTTGGGCATTGGCTATAGAGGAAGCAAATTTATGAAGAAGTTATACCTCAGGGAGAAAAGTTAGGTTTATTTTAGAAAAGTGAGCTCTTCCAGCAACACATTTTTAATCGATTTGTGTACAGCAGTGTTTGAGCTAGAAATTATTCTTAGTTATTCATCAAATCAGGTTTGATAGGGCTTTACTCGGCAACACTTTTAGGTTTTAGTTTGAGCTTTTTGTGTAATTTTGTTGAAGATATTTTATGAATCACCCATAATTTAGACTTTTTACAAACCATATGGGACTTATTCCCACTTAAACTGAGTTTCAGAAATTTAACTCTGTGCTTCGGATAATAAATACTTTATTTAGTTTTGTTATATTTCACAGAGACTTGTTTAGGAACTATTATCAACATTTGTTGTTCAAAAAAGATTAAATAGGAACACCTTCAGACATTTAGATAAACAAAAAGATTTGAAAGCTAAGCTTGATTGATTAGAAAGTAATTGCAGAACTGGATATCCCATTTAGAACTTCTGCAATGCCATATCAGTGATATATTCTAGACCAGCACTAGTCAATACAACTTCCAGTGACAGTGAGAATGCCCTGCACTTGCACCGTTTGCCATGGTGGCCACCAGCCACATGTGGCCACCGAGCACGTGCAATGTGGTCAGTGCAAATGTGGAGCTGAATTTGTAGTTTCATTTAATTTTAATTAACTTGAACTTAAATACACGCTTGTGGCTAGTGGCTACCGTATTGGAAATTATAGTTCCTAGAGTTTACCTCCATTTGGTATTCAACATGAATTAAAGAATTTCTTGACTGTCTTCTAGGTGCTCAGTGTCTATGAAGCATGATTATCCCCAGAACGCAAGGCCCAGGCTCCGTGACGTGGCCCTCCGCAGGGAGCCTTCACAGCACGTGCAGAGGACCAAAGGTGGAAACAGCGGGTTCTGAACTTTGGCTCAACTTGTGGCTATTCAGACACAAAGTTTGGGTTAGACCTAGGTGGTTTGAGAACCTATTATCTCTGGAAAGCCGTGGGCTCTCAAATTGTCTCCAGTAATAAAGTTCAATGACAGGAAGCGAACTCAAGGACTTGACTTTTCCAGTCCATTTCTTGTAAGGTATGACTGGCAGGTCATAGAGACAGATATGCACATAGCTATCTCCATTGAAAAGAATCTGTGGATTCGGCCTGGAGAGCAGAAGTGGGCTGAAAAATACTTTGGCACCTCTCCCCAAGTCATTTTCCAATAAAAATTCATTGAGGAATACTATGTACAAGGCACAACGGTTAGTGTAGGAGATAAAATGTTGGGGAAAAATAGATACAGCTCCTGCCCTCCTGAGGATTAATTACATTAGATGACAAGATTGTTTCCCACTGTCTTCTTCCAAAATTTATTTTTCCTTGGATATGGTGAAAGTAAAACAGGAGAGAGATACACAGAGTAAATGGAAATGCTGAGGATCACTACGAGGCATGTGTCACACATCTTACTCAAGTTACTTCTCTCTGCACAGCTTTCTGAGTTCCACACCCAGAGAGACGAAGAGAGCAGTTTCTGAAATGCAGTATTGGAGACAACAACTAAAAAACCTCAATTACCATTTTTAGAACATGAGATGAGCATCATCATTCAGCATTTATTGAGTGTTTACCACATATGTTTACAAGGGATTCTTTCCTCTTTATGAGCCAGAAGAATGTCCTTTAAAATAATTACTAACTAAAAGATATTTTTGGCTGTTATGTGATGACACATTTTTTTACTTTGCCATTCAAAACATTGTAAGAGGGAGTGCTACAATTACAACTTCTGAAATGAATCAAATTATTCAACTTTCAGGCACCAGTGCAAGACCTGAAGGGAACTGTTAGTGACACAGGCCACATGTAGCTGATTGTATTTCAGTTCACGTTGGAAGAACGAGCCAGAATATGGCAAAGTACTAAGCAAGAACTATTTAGTCAGGTTTCTTGTTTTCCTTCGCAGAACAAATGCAGAGTTAAATGTATGATTCAATCTGAATTTTTAGATGAATTTTCAAGTGTGTCACTGATGAAAATTTAAGGGTGAAAAGGATTCAAAATTAAATTAAATGAATAAAACCACAATACATAGTACTTAAAGTATCTAAAGTCCATTAAGTCTTGCCTCCAAATATATTAATCGATAATGTTCTTGATTTTCTAGACCAATGCTTTGAAAATAATTTTTAAAAACTAACTACAAAGCAATTTTTAAGAACTAACTATAAAGAAACTAGAGGAAAGGGGATATATTTATTTATACAAATACATTAGAACCAGTTGCATATAAAATATTATAAACAAAATTAAAAGGTGAAGGAGAGTTTGCCTAGTTGTTTTAAAACATGGCCACAGATTCTTTGACCCTCCTGTCTTCCCTCCCGCTGAATCTAGGAGGCCTGTGACTGCTTTTACCAACAGAGCACAGAAGAGATGGCACTCTGTAGCTTCTGATGATGAGTCATGAAAGACCAAAACGGCACTGCAACACTGCCCTTTGAGGCCCTGAGCCTCCAGGTAAGGAGTCTGAATCCCCAGAGACCGCAGTGCAGGAGCATCCACATGTGGTGCTCCAGGTGGCGATGCCGGCAGGGCTGGCCTTCCTTCTGTCCCTGCCAGGGTGCTAAGCATGAGTGAAGCCATTTGGGGCCCTTTAGATCAGCCAGTCTGCCGGGTGAGAAATCCACGACAGCAGAAAAAACTCCCAGCCAGGACCCATACAACTGTGAGATAAAATAAGGTACATGTTGCTTTAAGCCACTAAATATTGACATGGGTTGTTGTGCCAGAAAAATGCAGCATACTCTTTTTTATGTGTAATATTTTCACAATAAAATTTTGCAAAATTGAATGTAAAGGATACTCTGGGAAGTTATTTGCCAAAATTGACAAAACATTCTTAGTATCTTTCCTATATAAAGGGCTCTTACAGACACCAAGAACAAATGACTAGCACTGTATAGGAAGACTAATTAAATGAACATAAGATTCACAAAATAAAAATAAAATGTCTAATAAACATGTAAAAAAGTTCAATCTCATTAGCAAGTAAAGAAAAAGTGAATTAAACAATGGGGTTACAATTTTGGTTACCAAATTGGCAAGGACAAAGGTAATATTTAATGTTGGTTTGGGTTGAGTAAGAGTATAAATGGCACAGACTTTTTGGAGAATAACTTGATACTGTATAAGCAGAACTTTTAAAATATCATATTCTTTGACTTTGCTACGAATCTAGGAATTGAGGTAAGGAAGTAATCAGAAAAGAGGTAAAATAGAAAATGTTTATTATAGTTCTAATTTGAGAAGCAAAAAATATAGAAACAATCTAAATGTCAATGCAGTTAAGTAAATTATATGTCTTATAATACAGAATATTATTTGATTACTTAGAGTAAAATTTTAAAGGTATTTTATCTGCTAATCCTGACTTTGGCACATTGAGAATAGAGTCGAAAAAAGAGGGACTTGATGGTCACACAGACCAGGCTCAGAATCCTGCAGCTGCCCCTACTTTCACTGGGTATTTCCAAATTTGATTTCTTTTTGAGTTTCAGTTTACATATAAAGAAAATGGGCCTAAATACCTAGTCCATTGGGGAGAGTGATAACTAAATGCAATTGCACATAATAAGCATAATAGTTTCTGAATAAGTATTATCTATTTTCTCACAATAAAGGATACCCTCTGAGCTCCATTTCCAAATTCATATTCCTTCCCCAATTCACTAAAGGTTCTTCCACTCTGGCTCTTTCTACAGACCACTTTTCACCACAGTTTTGTCTCCACACCATAGTCAGAGATATTGGAAACAAAAATAAGTGAGTCAGGTTTCTCACTTACAATTCTTCAATGGTTCCAACTGTACACAAACATGCATATACTCTTGCTCAGCCGTCCACCAGCAGATGTGGTAAACTTTGAAAAAGTAAATCAGATCACACCATTCCCCTGCTTAAGACCTCCACCCCTAGCATCCGACAGGTCCCCATAGCATGAGCACAAACCTAAACTTTTTGCAAGGGGGTTCCGTGCCTCATCTGATTCCTACTTTACCTACAATTTTGCCCCCTTTCTCCCTTGTTGTCTATACTGTAGCCGCACTGGCCTTCTGCTTATGAAGAACATCATGCTGGTCCCCACTTTCAGGCCTGGGCTTTTCCTCTGCCTGGAATTCTCTTCCCCTGGAACACTGTTGGGCCCTTCGCCATTTAAATCTCAACTTGCATGTCACTTCTTCAGGGAGGTTTTTTTCAACCATCCAATCTAATCCCAACCACTTATATTCATGTGTCTCTATTTCTCTCT